GGATGTGGGGGCACATGGGAGGTGCTTCAGGGGTTGGGGGCATTTTTTTTTTTTTTTTTTTTTTTTTTTTTTGGCCTAGGGCGGCCTAGGGCCACGTGTTCCGTACCCCGCGCATCAATTCCGTTTCTCTGAAAAGCACGGGAGCGGCCCATTTTCGCGTTTAACGCGAATTCAACGGGAGTTTTTGGAATTTAACGGGATTCAACGGAAGTTTAATTCCCCCGTTCTGCGTTAAAAAGATACACAGACTGTCGGCCCTCGACCACACAAAATGTGATTACTCTAGCCCAGTCATGTGGCAGAAGAAAGTGAAAACAGCCCCTGAGATCGATCTAAAAGGTCTCAGGAAGAGCTGGAATGTTGGACGGCCGTACCTCAGATGCAGACGCGCTATGGAGAGGAAAAAGGACTGTGCGGCGGGGCCGATTTTGATGGACCACACGATCTGGTATCTACTCGCGCATCCAGACATCCTTTTCCACAACGTCGCCTCCGTGAAGGTGAGAACCTCTACCTTCATCCACTTTTTGCGTGTATCTTGGAAACCTGCGGTGGAGGCATGTCTTACCTTCATGTTCATACGGGAGATCATGACCGAGGTGATCTCTGCACTCGAAAAAGATCCTTCCCTCACCTCTGAGTCCGTCATCTGCAGGGAGAAATGGAGATACAATACCCCGCTCACCATCGGTAGGGTATTGCTCCCCACAAGGATTACCGGCAATCCAAGGGTTAGAGCCAGAGGCAATCGGAACGAGCAAGGGAACGCCCAGAAGAGACAGCGCAACAACCCACCTATAGTTGTCTCTCCCCGGCAAAGGGTACTTCCGTATGAACCAAGGGACAAGGCGGACGTGGCGCAGCAGATGGTCCCCCCCAGGGACCTCCCGCGCAATGCGGGTGCCTCTGGTGGACCAGGCTCGCAGGATCGAGTAGGAGGCGTTCATCAGCCACAGGAGCAGATGGGAGACAGGGGGTTGCACAACATGGCGGTAGAAGGGCAAAGAGCTAGAGGCAGGGGTGGCTCCCGACTACTTCCCTCACAGACAGGGTCGGCGATCTCCACGGCGCAATCCATAAGGAATAGCAGATTACGAAAGAATGGGTCTTCTAGCAGGGGGGAGAAGGGAAAGAGAGGATGTATCGGCACCCCTTGATGCACACGCACAAGGATCTGTACCACGCACCCGTGTGAGTTCCTCTCAGACGGATCAATCATTCTGCGTTACTCACGGGATGCATGATGATGGTTTTTTCTGTGTTTTTTTCCCCCTTTTTTTCCCCCTTTTTTTTTTTTTTTTT